ACCTCTTCATGAGATACAAAGGGTTGGAGGTGAAGGGAATTAGTTCTTCTTTTGTATTTTTCTATTATTAAAGAATTAAATTATAATTAAAAAAATAAAGAAATTACATAAAAAATTAGAACTTTTAAATAGTTGATTTTGATATTAACATTGATATATTTTTTTTCAAATTTTTATGATATCTTCAAATTTATATTTTATTCAAAAATAAAGTCATTATTGCTTTCTTAAAAATACATAAAATCATATTATAACATCGACAGAGACAAATAATAAAATATAACATTAAAATCTAGATGTGTCTCGTTGCATTGGGCGTGTACTATTATATATATATATATATATGTGGTTAGGAAAAATCGAAAAAAAAATGAAAAACTGATGATCATTTTGGTAACCATTTATCTGGACAATATGTACATATGTATATAAGTAACTTGTAGACAATTTCTCCGGTATGTACATGTGCATAACATACATAAAAACTAAAAATAATAATTTCAACTAGCCGTCTAGATGAATGGTTATAACTGTAGTTTTTAGTTTTTCATTTTTTTGGAGGTTTTAGGGTTAGCTAAATGATCTTTACTAAAAAAAATTCTCACATATATTCACATAAAAACTTACTTTTACATTCTCAATGCATAATTGAACTTGATTTTAACATAAAAGATAAGGCATACAGAATTCCCTCCTTTCTTTTATATTTTTTATATATAAATAACACCAATCTCAAAGTTGGATGAGACGTATGTAAATTTATACAACGTGTTATATATCTTGTTGAAGTCAATCATAGATGACGAATGTCATATGTAGGTTCAGGGAGTGTCATGATATTGTGAAAGTTTTGTTCATAAAATTACATGTTTTGGTGTGTTTATGTTGTACTATAAAATTTACATTTTGAAGGTTTTATTTTTTGACGTTTTTAGTCAGTGATTCAAACAAAGACGCGGGTGCGGGCGAAATTCCCGCCAATTGGCTGAGATGTTCAGTCGACTTCCTCCTCCTTTGTGGGGTCCGAACCCCTACGAGTGAGCACTATCATTTATAAAAATGTGTTCTCTTTCCTAAGGCATCCGGCAATGGGAGGTCCTTTGCGATGGACCCACAGGGACACCTGGCCTGTATATGTTGTGTTGAGATAAAAAAGTTGTAGTGCGCCATTATCATCAAAATGGTTTTAAAATAACCATTTTTACTAGGTTTTATCTCTTAACCCTTCACATTTACCAAAATATTTTAGGTCCGTAATCTTTTTTCCTTTGCGGACCTATGTGAAAAATGTAAAAAAAAAATTGCGAACCTAGGTGAAATATGTAAACGTTTTTTGCAGACAGGGATAGAAAGTGTAAATTTTTTTGTTGTTTAGCTAGGTTCGCAACCTAGGGCTATTTTGGTAACTTTGGAGAAAAATGGTTAGGAGATGAAATTACTCGAGTGAAATGATTATTTTAATTAATTTCCCTTTAAAATATTGTGATTTTGATAGCGGTAGACGTGTAAGCTTGTATCACTGTTTTATTTCTATTGCAAGTCTTAGATTTTCTATCGGAGTCATATAAGACATCTGGAATTTTTCTTACGGTTAATCGAGTTTTATGGGATCAGTCGAGATATGTATAAACTAAAACAGATACCCATGGTTAAAAAAAATCTTGAATTTTCTCACATATATGGCTTTTTGATCTTTCTTTCAAGTTTTTTGGCCATTTTTATGGTGGTTAATTAGGGTAATAAAAATACAAATTATTCATGATATCTAATATAATACAATAAAAATGAGTAATAAGATAAAAGTAGTGAAACATTTTTCAAACAATTTAAGACAAATTAGTTCAAAACACCCCTTTAATTCTACTCAAGTTCAATGATTGTTATCTGTTCACGTCTAAGATGGGCCTAGAAACTGTTTCAAACAATGACACTGTTTGACTATAAGAAAAAAAAACATGAAAAACATTTCAAGTGATGGTACCATTTGACTATAAGAAACAAACGTCAAGATTTTTTTTCCCAAACAGTGGTACCATTTGACTAAGAAAATGACACTAACATGATTCGAACTTGGGTCTAGGGTGGAATAAAAGCCTTGCAAATCAACTCTACCAAATAAAACGTGTTCTCATGGTAGTTTCAAAATACGGTGTCACACAACAAATTAATACGGTTGCATTTTTCACGAACTTAAATTTTTTTACCATTCGACGGAGGAATAATATGATGGCACGTGCAAACGTATGCTTTACTCTAGGTCCATCCATTTTCACATCTGGTTTTTCATTTTTCTTTTTTGATGGGATTTTGAATTGCATCTTAATTTTGTCAACTAGTGCTTCCAATTTATAGTTGGACCTTAATTAGAGGCTGTTTGACACTCACTTGATGATTTAATGCAGAATGATTAAGTAGTCAGAATAATTAAGATACTCTCATGATATATTACAAAATGAAATATAATTGTTTGGTAATTATTTATAACGAAATTAGGACGCTGATTGGTTAAGGGAGACGCATGATACAAAATCATTCAAAGTGTTCTAGGACCATTAAGATACAAACTTTTTTTACAAAACAAGATTCACCTCTTAACGATTTAGAGAATGCCTCTTAATAGAACTATTAAGAGGTAAACAAACAAACCCTAAATATCATCGTAAATAAAAAGAAATCAGGTTTATATATGAGTTCTAAAAAAGTCAATTATCCAAAGCTAGTTTATCCATTTATGGTTATTTAAATAGGGCTTTTTATAGTTATAAAAAATGACGTTAATTGGTTTTAAACTTAGAGGTGTAAACGAGTAGTAGGTTATTCAAGCTCGGCTCGAGAATTTAAACCAGGCTTAAGCTTGAATAAAGTTTTCAATCTAGGGCTCAAGCTCGAGCCCGATGCTCGTTTATAGGCTGGTATTTGCGATTGATTAACTCGTTTATTATAACAAGATTGGTATCTTTTATATTTTATCGTATTATACATGAACATATTAACATGTCTGGCTTAAAAAAGTATATGCTCGAATGGCTCAAATCAGATAATAGTTTTATAAAGTTGGACTCGTTAAATTAAACGATTTTTATTTTACGTTCGATATCGACGCTACAAAGATGGAAAGAAAGAAAGAAAAACCTGGTAGCTCCAAGGCCAATATTATGGGGGAAAATTGTTGTGCCGTACACATTGTTATTGCCGTGAATTGCATCACTGCCGTAGAACATCGGAATTCCAAGCCTCGATTCCAATGCCGCCTTCTGGAATCCGTCCACCATCTCCGCCCAATCCAACGACGTCGCGTTCTCAAACGGTTTGCTTCCTCCACCACTCAATATACTTCCTGCAATCAAAACAAATTCAAACTATTCAAATACCTAACCGAATACTCAAATCAAATACGAATTACACAAACATTTGTTCTGTATATGTATACCTAATCCGAGATCTGTAATGGCGGTGGGAGTGGCGATGCTGCGTTTGATCTGAGTCATTTGACCGAGCTTCTCTTTGATAGTCATACGAGAGAGAAGGTCTTTGACTCTAGATTCGATCGGTTCGTTTGCATTTCTGTAAACTGCATCGATGACGTCTTTCATTGTTAGAAAAAAGAAATCGGAAATTGGGGAGATGAAAACTCCGATTGGGGATTTTGAAGACGAGATTGAAAGGATTGGCGGGTATTCCAATTTGACTAAGTCAAGGTCAACGTTGACCCGGGTGGAGTCAGTTTCACTGTAGATGGGTCTTCCACGTTAGCCGTGTGAATGGATTAGAATACAATTTGGTGGCGACGTCGTTTTTTAGTGTGTTAGGTCAACATTATTCGAAGTGAATAACGTATCGGTTAAGACTCGATAGATGTTGTGGAATATCTTACTTTTTAAAGGTTCGAATTCAGACGTTACCATATGTGACGGTGAAGATTTACCTGTGATGACTTCATACCATTCATTATCGTCTTAAAGATCAGATGGTATATGAAAGCTGTCTCAGATACCTAAAAATGTTGAATAATTTGTAACCGTTTAAGTTGTTCGATTTTCAAAATTCACATGCGGTGGAACTTACTTTTTAAAGGTTTGAATTCGGTTTTGGAACAAAGACTTGTGCGTGGGGTTCGGGGGAGAAACGAAAACCACTAAACGAAATTTTGGATTTTTTTTATGTGATGTTGCTTTCGAGTCTTTTTCTTATTTTATGGGTCATTGTATATAAGTTTTATTTGGACCACGAAAAAATATTTTGGCTTTTTTCGTCGTAGGTTTTCGAGTCAATTTATGTGTATTGATTATTTCTCGAGTGATCATGAATGGTCTGGAGTCATCATAGGTAAACTTCAATGACCACAAGGATTTTGACAACGTCTAAATTCGAACAAAATAAAAAAAATTCCACTACGTTCATTGAATTTTTTAAGGTAAAATTCAAACCTTAAAAAATTGTTATATATTTTTGTTAGATATTTTAATCTATTTTTATTTTATATTGACTATTGTTATTTGGTTATGTTGTTCTAATTGTTTTTATTGACTATTGTTATCTATTTTTGTTTCTACATAAAATATTTTATTATTGTTTTACAATCAACCTTATTATTCTTATGATTTATGACTGTTCATGGTTTTATAATTAATCAATAAATTTTATCTACTAGATGTGTTTAGTGATGTCTCTTATGTATGTCATGTTCCATAAAATTTTAATCTTTACATCTTATTTTAATTGAGCAAAAAATGAAGGAAAATATAATTTAAATATTTTCATCAATTGTTTGACTTATGTATCTTTCATTGGGATTCCACCACACCATAATATTCTATTTAAGTGTGCTCAAACAACCATTTATTGAGCTTGCATATTATATGTTTAATTCATAATTTATTCTTATTGGATCTCAATGGATTATCTTTTCTTCCATATTCTTATTGATTCTCATTTGTCTACTTGTTTAAAAAACTTGATGATCTTCTATATTATTGATCTCTCATTGACCCTCACGTTTTCTTTATTCACAAAAATTCTCTTTTCTATATCAAATTAACACATATTTCTTGTTATGAACTAAAATATTTCTTACTTTTTATAAAAATTTATCAACCACTGTTTTTATACTCTTGGTTTCAAATTACCTAATAAAAAATACGTAAATTTAAAAACTCTTTTATATACTTATAACAAAGATAAATAAGATTTATTTCCTCAGTAAATTATTAGCATTTCTTGTATTCAATTTCATACTAATGAGAAACATTTATTGAATATTTTTCGTACTTATGAGTAGGGTTGTAAATGAACCGAACGAACATAAACGGAAGCTTGTTCATGTTCGTTCGTTTAACTTAACCGAACAAAAATGAACGGTAAACGAACGAAAACACCCGCTATGCGAGCCGACTAATCCCAGGGCAACCACCTGCTTTGCAAATAGTCCGGAGTCACCACATTTGAATCTCCGTGGCCACAAGGGGATTTTTATTCTCCCTTGGATTTGAACCTGGGACCTCCAGGTACTTTTGACCTTTGGAGCCAAGCTCAAACCAATCAGACACCACCCTTGTGGTTTTATGTTCGTTCGTTAACATGCTAAACAAACGTAAATGAACGAAGATAAACGAATGGGCTAAACGAGAATAAATAAATATTCTTTGAATTCAAAATAAATAAACAAAAGATTATATATTAAATTTAATATATAAATGAACATAAACGAATGAATATAAACGAACGATAAATGAACGAACGTTCACGAACATAAATGAACGAATGAGACTCTTGTTCATGTTCGTTCGTTTAACTAATGAACAAAAAAATTGTTCATGTTCGTTCATTTATTAAATAAACGAACATAAACGAATTTCCCGCCGAACGGTTCGCTGAACGTTCGGTTCGTTTACAGCCCTACTTATGAGGGTCATTACAAGACTAGTGAGCTTTGACGATGTGTCTTTTAGTGATGACATGTTTCCGCCACAAGTTATATACGACATGTTATATATACTCTTTTTAATGATAAATAGACTTTTAGTGACGATAAAAATTGTTGCTAAAAGCCTTGTTTTTTTTTTTTTTGCAACGGGCTCTATTTTTACGTTAGTCCAGGGCCTATAAAATGCCAAGAACGAGCCTGAATTTCGCCAGAATACTTGTACGTCATTCTAGTGATATCAACAGAAGAGTTGATACCACATTTTGTTTGAACATAACTAACCAACATTAAATGTGTAATATTTGATAGCACCATGACACGGAGCATCGGTTGATCAGAGACATATCCTCATTCTTGATTAATTTGCTGCCACGAACCCCATCACAAATACATAACCTAACTTTATCAGTTACATAACTCATTTTGAAAAAAAACACAGAACAAAGAAAGGAAGATACACGAGAGAAATATTTGATTGAAAAATTGGTTGAAAACTTGGTGATCTTTGACATTCATCGTTAGTCTTCTTATTCAAGAATTTGATGGAATCAAATTGTACCAACACATTGAAATTATTCATCTGCTATTCATAATCGTTGTGGAAAAATACAGTGCACAACCGCAAAAAAAACATACCTGAAAACCTTTAAAATGAGTTCTTTTATCATAGATAACGAACCTAGAACTGCAATTACGAACCTGGACCCAACATTCTTACGGATCTGAGATGCTTTCTAACGGATTGAAATTAGGGTTTTAATCGGGTGCTGACACGTAGCGTGTCCACAATTGCAGAAGTGGACCAATTATGTAAAAAAAAATTGCCGTTTATTGCGGATGTAATAACATTTGGGTCAATCCGGAAGAGAAATTGCTAAAAGACCAATTTGGATGGGTAGAATGGCTATTTGAGTCGGTTTCTATTACAATAACCAAATAATATTTTATTTATTTAATTATATGTAGAAAAAAAATACCATAACTCGTTAAGCCCCATATGCCATCCTGAAGCCAGGGTCCGTAACTAGTCTGGCCCGATCGGTCCCATTTTGGTCCTCTATTAACCGGTCCCATCTCAGTTAAAAGTTAAAATCGTCATTCGTAACTGGTTAAGGATGCCCATCGAGAAGTTTGAAAACTATAAAAATGCAAGAAGAAAACTCATTCTTAATCGATCTGGGACTCTAACACGTCTCCTCCAAATAAAACTATGGGCACAAATTGTCACAGAGTGTCGAGTCTTTACACTGATAGAGACCGGCTCTGATGCCATGTAAAAATATGTGAAATCCCGATAGATTACTCTTCAAAAGGGCCATTGAAAAGAGAAAAGCACGTTTTTACATACACCAGTGATAAATGATCCAAAATGAAACCAGTAAATCTCACGCAGATTAGGATCGGAAGGAAGAAAATTACAAACAACGCTACTTAATAAGCTTATTGGTTAACAAATTTATGGTTGAACTTTAGAGGTTAGACCGTACCCGAGTGGGAATAGAGGATCGTACGCAGTTTGATAAGCATCCATCGGCAGTTGATCAACCGATTTAAACCATGAAAACGGAAGCCGTCCATGGAACTCGTAGTCTCCAAAAACAACATCAGTTATCCCGTTTCCTTCGGTGCCCGGCAACCAGGCAGCAACTAGTGCATCCAATGTTTCTAGAAGCGATGGCTCTAAAAGCAACGGCCTACCGGAGATCAGAATGGCTAGAGTCGGGATTTTGGCTGCAACCAGCTTCAGTAATTCATCTCCTTTAAAGGGAATGGTGAGCTCTGAATTATCACCGCCTGATTCAACATATGGAGCTTCACCAACGGCTACAATTGCATATGAGAAATCTTGTCCTGAAAGGCTCTCGGTTGTCGGATTTTCTTCATATACTACTTCGGCATTTTCACCGATTGCTTCTCTAACAGCATCGAGAATTGTTGTCCCTGAATAGGAAACGATTTTTAGTTCTCATATGCAACACACTTGAATAAAGCACAGTAAAGATGCATGATATGTGTACAGGTCAAGTTCAAATGAAAACCATAAATATTTTAAAAACCTAGTAACCAAGTGTTTATTATTTATCCATGACAAATATCATTAATAATATTTTTGGGTTATTCATCATGAATAATTCATAAAATAGTTGGTTCCTAAATTCTCAAAAATGATTCTCATTTAAACCTGCCCTTATATGGATGCGAGAATTTAATGATTACATCAAACCGAAGATACAAGTGTAGAACTGAATAGTAAAAGAGTCTGCAAACTCTGTAAAGTAGATATAAACTTAGCAGATATAGTTTTACTTATACGTAGTGCGTATGTAATATCCCTCGACCGCAGGATAATGAAAACAACAAGAAAGCATGTTTTCCGGCAAGAAGAATAAGTTTGCATTTTAATTTAATGGTCACAAATTAGACAATGCTTCAATCGACGATCAGACTTTTTTTTTTGTAAGAGTGGGTGTACGGGTTCAGCTTGTGCACACCTTGACTAATCCCATAGGCCCCTGAAGACAGCCAAAAAGAAATCCAAAATGTCCTAAGGAACTCAAGCTGGCGCCCTATGAGGAGGAGCCCCAAGGCGTAGCTTTTATTTGCCCATTGAGTTGGTTTCCTCAAGGTTAGACCTCATAGATGTGGTGAACAAGGATCATTTACATGAATGTTGAAACATACAAGTCAAAGAAGTGTCAATGTGAGGGTTTATCTTCATTGTCAACCAACATATCAATGAAGAAAGCATGAAGATGGTTTCCATGGACTTGAGAGACGTTTAAAGTTGCTTTGAACGAACATCCGGGCATACTAAGGGGCCGTTCCACGACAGAAATTGGGTACACCGTTTACCGGATAAGAGTGCAGTATAGGTCAATACTAATCACTAACCGAATAAGTCCCTCCCTTAGCTTACCAGGTCGGCATCTAGGTCGACATCTTGGTCAGCATCATGAACTGGCAAGAGGGGCTTGGTAAACAGCAGCATCACTGACCGGGGTAAGCAGGTAGTGAACAACCCTTTATAGTCATTTGTTATTTGCTTTATTGTATCTTACTGTGCCTGATGTTAACTTATGAAAGATGCAAACATGAAGATTTAATGAACTATAGAAAGGTTTAGGTTTAAGGTGATGCCAAAAACTACTTACCGATTGTGATTCTTCCACTGGTTCCTTCCCATGTGGCCGTCCAACCTCCACATTGGTAACCCAGATCATCGGCATGTTTTCCAGCAACAAGAACCCTTTTTGCATTTCTATCTAATGGTAGAAATGGTTTCTTTGGATCCTTCCCATTTTTCAACAGAACCAATGACTTGCGAACGGCTTCACGTGCTAATTCTCTATGTGGCTGGAATAATGATATTAAGGTATTATGTCAGTACTCAGTAGTATTGTTTTCCCTGGGTTCTACTGATGAATGGCAATACAATTTTAGTTTAAAAGGTTGAAGTGAAAATCCTCCGTCTTTGAAATGGAAAATATAAAGTTTTATATACGCATCATAAGGAGAGACATGTAATATGCAGTAATTGCACACAGAGAAAATGATTCAATATCAGTTTCTTTAAGCATTACTAATATGAAGAATTCTTTTATTAAGGGTTGGGGTAGGGTGGAGAACCAGAACTATAAGGGTCACACATGCAAAAGGGATCATGTGTACGAAGAAATGAAATGGCATCTGAATTCACCAGAAGTTGATAAATAAATAAGAGATATTGAAGAAAACTAGAGATGTCGAGAGATGATGGGTTTAAGATAACTTATAAACTAATCACGTTTGATAAAAACTAGGTGATAAGGTAGATGGCAATGTATAATTACCTAAAAGGGTAGTACTTATGGTCATTTATGTAAAAATAAGGGGTGTGATTGGAAAAAGTGAAAAAATGCCCTCAGAGCTTATTGAAACACTATTTGAACTTTGAAGTAGTTTTTCAAGAAAACTAGCTTATAAGCTAGTTTATGGCTTACCATACAGGATTTTCTCGATAAATTCAAAAAATAAATTGACTTATGGTTGCCAAACATGGCCCAACTCTAGAGACGGAAAGAGATGGCGGGTTCAAAGAAGTGAACAAACCAATTTGGAGGAAATTATAGGTTAAATACATAAATCTGCAAGTTTACCTTGCTGCCAACAATGTCCAGCAAAGATCTATCAGTCGTGGGATATTCAAAAAGTTTGGCAGCAAATTTGACTCTCAGGATCCTTTCAACAGCATCATCGATCCTTGTCATGGGTACCTCTCCTGATTCTACCAAATATTCTAAATCCTCCAAAAACAATTGATATCTGAATGGAACCATCACCTGCAAGTTCCAAATAAATAAAAATGGAGATGCAAAGTAGAAACCTTCTGATTGAGGGACCTAATAATTTCCTGACCATATCAATTCCTGCGTTAACAGCAGATAAAACAGCACTTCTGTAGTTTGATCCATGAGGATCGGAGAACCGGTCAAGTGCTTCCCAATCTGAAATCACAATTCCCTGTAGAAAAGTTCTTCTATTACTTTAATAGAGACATTCTATACACAAACAAAAAAATAGATGTTGCGTGGTAGTCAACATTTCTCAATTGAGATTAAAGGCAGCAAAGTAATGCCATATTATACTTGCCTTAAATCCCATCTTCTCTTTCAGAATATCTGTTAGGAGATAACGATGAGCGTGCAATTTGGTTCCGTTCCAACTAGAGTAGGATGCCATAACAGTGCAGACACCTTTTGAAATACAATCTGGATAAGGTAACATGTGAATCTTTTCCAAATCCTCATATGCGATAATCGTATTGCCTTCATTTTTCCCTTTGTCGGTACCTCCATCTCCAACATAATGCTTTGCACATGCCATGACATTGTTCCTAGAATCAAATGATTAATTAATGAAGGTCAACTTTACCATGTTGAATCATGGCAGTGGTTGTAGTTCCATATGATGTTTCTGAACTGGATTTTGCACATAGCATCAGAAGGTTGGAATGCTGACATCTGCTCCAAGCCCCAAACCCAAGAGCGATGCTAGGAATTCACTTTGACGATCAAAATTCATCCTCATAATCAGTTAAACCAAGATGTTTAACAGGCAAAGCAGCAACCAGGTGTTTTACTTGCTCCAGTGCCATACAAATTTAAGGAAAGATGAGAACTGCTTTATGAAAATCCATGTTTCCAGGTTTATTATCAAGATGCTAATAGTTACCAAAGGGTCATTGGCCCTGCCGTACCCGGGTTACTGGTCCAGCCTCTGGGGAGGTCAAGGGTACAAACCTCACCAAATTTGAGGATTGTGCTTGAGTATTTTCTATATACAAATATTATATATGCTTCAAAAAAGTTGCTAATAGTCTCACTAGTGGACTTGATAGTCTAGTGATGATACCATTGAGACATCAAAATGGGAAAACCAAGTCATTTATCGTCTAATTTTTAAATTGTAACTTGATTCTTCTTTTATTTTTATTTTTTTTGGTGTTAGGGAGATGTGGAAATTGAAAACTTATATTTCTGTGAAACAAATGAGGATATAAAACATGCAACTACTTAATTGAATTCTTGTTTAAATATAAAATGGTAAGGGTTCTTCTTTCTTTACCGTCCAGCTACATAAGGGTATCCATTTGGGTGATCTTGGGGAGGCTTCCCCTGCAAGCCTGTTACCAATGAAGTCATCTTTCTAACTAATTGGGTGTCTTCGCTATAGCTTTCATAGCATCTTCCCCATCTAGGATCTTTGCATACCTACCAAGATCAATTCAACTGATCAGCAGAAAGATTCCTTCTGTAGGGTGAAAAAGCAAGTAGTATGAACATAAAATTGTGTTCAGTCATGAGAATTCATAACCTAATTTTTAAAGGGGTAGGCTACATGCACCCCTATATAATGCTAAATACATCCCTACCTACTAATTTCCTCCTTATACAAATCAACATCAAAACTTATTTTTTCACATTTTCAATGTACGATTTGACTTGATTCTGACATAATTAGAGGTGCATATAGCAACACCTTTTTTAAAAAGTAATCCATGATCCTTTACAAAAAACCTTCCACATTTCATAACATGAATATCAGAGTGGAGTGAAATTTACAGTTTCTTAGATAAAATTAAGCACTTGTGACCCTAGGACAAGAGAGATTGCCATTCAAATGGCTGAGGAACTCAAAAAATACATCAAATTAGAATGTGATGTGCATGCATTCATGACATAAATGGATCGGACAGGAATATATAGCATTCATGGCCACTCTTTGCTCCCCTACTAGAGTCAACTATCCAAAATTTGCAATTGTTGAGAATACATACTGAGGGGCTGAAAGTACATTCCATTTGTGAAACCATATAGCACTCTAATTCTGGAAGATATAATCTCACGACCAGGACTCTAGTAATGGAAGAAGAATCGCATGACAACTACTGCTAAAACTCTACTATCTAAAAATTGAAGGTACCAGGACAAGCTATAGGATTTCAAGCTACAAATCTAAGAAATAAAAGTCACTATGAAGATCAAGTTGGTTCATTAGCCAACACCGGTTATACTCTTCCAATCTTGCATGATCTCATGATGATGGATAACGTATTCACCAAGAAGAATTGTTGGAAAAACAAATAGCAATCTATCATCTTAATGATCATATATAAACTTACAGCAACACAAGGAGCAAAAGCATATTGAACACCACTAGCTCTAGTTTCTAGGGCAGTAGCAGCACCTATCCTCTCGACTAAATCTGGATCTCTGCAATACATTGAATCAAATGACACCATTAAAAATCGTCAGCGAAGCAATGCTCTTAATGTTTAGGACTTCAGTCTACGATCAAAATCCACCCTTTTCAATGTGCAAAGATCATAGATATATATACGTAATCGTAAGAGATAAATTAAAGGATATTATACTATTTAACACCAACCTGGTAGCTCCAAGGCCAACATTGTGAGGGAAAATAGTTGTGCCGTAAACATTGTTATTGCCGTGAACAGCATCACTGCCATAGAAGATCGGAATGCCAAGTCTAGATTCTAGCGCGCCCTTTTGGAGTCCGTCCACCATATCCGCCCAATCCGCTGACGTCGCCTTGTCAAACGGCTTGCTTCCTCCACCACTCAGTACACTTCCTGCCGACAAATTCAAATCGCTTGACTAAAAAGTACCAAATATACACAATTGTATTTACACATACCTATACAGAGATTTCTGATGACTTCGGGTGTGGCAACGCTGCGTTCGATCTGAGTCATCTGACCAAGCTTCTCTTTGAGAGTCATACGAGAGAGAAGATCTTTCACTCTAGCTTCAATCGGCTCGCTTTCGTTCTTGTAAACGATATTGATCATGTCTCCCATTGTTTTCGGAACTGAAAGAAAACCGGCGACAGTATCGAAGATGATCACCTTTATGACCAGCAAAATAACACGTACTCACCGGTGGATGAGCTTCGAATGATCGCACTTAGTGTGACAAGTATATGGAAGAAGTGTGTGTAACCACCGTCAGCCGGAGCCGATGAACGTGAAATGGTGATTGGTTGGTGGATCGGTAGATGGGAGCCAAGGTAGCAAGTAACGCTAACTTATCGTTTTTCAGTTCCACTACTGATTGAAAATATAACTAAAAAACAAAATATCACAATCACCAGTTCACCACTACAAAAATAAGACCAAATTTAAGAAAAAATAATAATAGTAAATTACAGATTTGGTCCCTGTGGTTTGCTGTTTTTTCATGGAAATAGTCTTTAGACTTTATTTACTACAGATTTGATGCATGTGGTCTGTTGGATTTAGTTCGTTGGCTTAACGACCGTCTAATTAGGTTTTAAAATCATAGGCAAAATAATATTTTTGCCATTTTTCTTTATTTTAACATTTTTAAAATTAATCTTTTTAAATTAAGGGCCATAAGGTATATATTGTAACTTCAAGGGCCAAAAACAAACTTCATTCGTTTATATACCCTTGATCAAGATGCAAACGAAACGACCCAAACATCAACTCCTACAATTGATAACACTATTTAGGGGGTGTTTGGGATTGCTTATTTAAAACAACTTATGCTTTTYTGTAAAAGTGCTTATTAACTTATGAGGTATCAAACTGGAGTTTTGTAAAAAGTGTTTGGATTAGCTTATAGCGGTACGAAAAAGCAAAATGACCAAAACACCCCGGTTCATTTGAGGTTATGTACCAGTTGAGGGTTAGAAAAGAAATCAAGCCGTCTCCTCTCCGTGCGTTCCCTTTCTCGTCGCCTCCTTCTCGTCGTCGGCTCTAAACCCTAAACCAGGTCGTCGGCGATTAAAACATCACCAGGTCGCCGGCCTCGCCTCGTCGCCTCCTTCTCGTCGTCGGCTCTAAACCCTAAACCAGGTCGCCGGCGATTAAAGCATCACCAGGTCGCCGGCGATTAAAGGTTCTTAACCAGCAAGATCGGATGCGATAGCCGGCAACGATGCGAACAAAACCAGCAAGAACGTCGTCTGTGGAAGTCTTGCCGGCAACGATGATGAGATGGATGCGATGAGAAACCAGGGTTAAAAGGGTAATCTGTCAAATAAGTCAAGAGGGTTTAACTTATCAAAAACGACTTATTACCGGTTTGGTACCGGTATAAGCACTTTTTTTTTTTTATCCAAACACTCCAAAATGACTTATTACCGGTTTGGCACCGGTATAAGTCAATAAGTCCGTTTGAAACGCTTTCCCAAACACCCCCTTAATGGGTCATTAACAAACGATTAGTGATAAAGAGTTAACACTCGTTCTAACCTTATTAAGTAACATTATCGATCATCAAAATAAATTGTTGGTAGACATCTTTTATCCGATAGCATTAACTAGGTAAGAGTATTATGAGTTGTTTGTTTACTTCTTAATAGTTCCATTAAAAGATGAATCTTGTGTGACAAAAAAAAAGTCTGTCTCATAATGGTTCTAAACCCTCTGAATAATTTTGTATCATAAGCATTCTTTAACCATTAAGTGTCTTGATTTCATTGTAAACAATTATCAAACGGTTTTATTTTATTTTGCACTATATCATGAAAGTCTCTTAATCATTCTACACCAAACTATTCGACAACTTCCAAACAACCCCCTTATCCCTCACTTATTAGATAAGATTATCGATTTTGCTGTGACTTTTATTTATAAACAATCCGAGCATAGTTTTCCAAATTTGCCCCTTTTTTATAAGTACACCATCAAATAAAAAAGAAAGGCAACATAAGTAGACAGGACCTTAAAACCTCTGAAGGAAGAGGATAACATCACATCCTCATCCAGAGCTTTCTCACAACTCACAAATGGCGACCTCTGTAAGAATACCATCGTCAATTTCATTCCTTTCTTCCTCAATTTTCTCCCTTTCTTCTTCAAGTCAAACCTCCTCCACCTCTCTTTTCATCAAACCCCCAAAACCCCACCTTCTCAAATGCACCACCGCCGTAATCCGCTCCGAGCTCGCCACCCTCCCAGTACTCTCCTTCGACGGCACCAAGATCGGAGAAACCTCCCTCAACCTCAAATCCGCCAACCCAGACACCGCTCGCGCCGTCGTCCACCGTGGTATCACCACCGACCTAAACAACAAGCGCCGTGGTACCGCTTCCACTCTTACCCGAGCGGAGGTTCGAGGAGGTGGGAAAAAACCCTTCCCACAGAAGAAACTCGGCCGTGCCCGCCGTGGGTCGCAGCGTACGCCGCTTCGTCCCGGCGGAGGAGTCGTTTTCGGCCCTAAACCCCGTGATTGGTCCGTGAAGATCAACAAGAAAGAGAAACGGCTGGCGATTTCAACGGCGTTGGCGAGCGCCGCCGTGAACGGGATAGTGGTGGAGGAGTTTGGGGATAAGTTTGAGAAACCTAAAACGAAAGATTTCATTGAAGCATTGAAGAGATGGGGGATTGATCCGAAGGAGAAATCGATGTTTTTTATGACAGAGGTTTCGGATAATGTGGTTTTAGCGAGTAGGAATATTGGGACCTTGAAGATGTTGACACCAAGAACATTGAATCTGTTCGACATTTTGAATGCAGATAAGTTGGTGTTCACAAAACCTGCATTGGATTACTTGAATGAAGCTTATGGGTATGATGATGGAGAAGATGAAGATGAAGATGATGAAGAACAAGTTGATGAAGGTTAGTTGAGTAATCAATCTTTATAACAAGTTTTGGATGCTTTTTGTCAAATCGAAATGATCTAACACAACCATAAGGTGTAGGAATCAAGAAACATGATTCCAATGATTCAATAACTTAATAGGTTTCCAATTTGCTTTCGCTTTGTTCATAAGGCCCCCGATAGAAGCTTATTGGATAAGCCGCTTTCTATATCATGAAGCTTATGTACAACAATGATGTATAGCTGACGGAATGAGTTGTGAGTCCAATTAAGCTCGTTAAGCTACTAACGACAAGCCTTAAGTCATATGATGTATTAAGAAAACTAGATAGTTACAGATAGAACATGAATACTAGTGTAAGAATATGTGGAACCGTTTAGATTACTTTTTAGAAGAGCCCTTGAGGGGTTAATTGAGGTTCCAACATATATTATAGAGAAACGGTCCAAGTGTAGCCAATGTGGGTCTCTAATACACCCCCTCCAATGAGGCTAGACTGACATAGATCGTTCCATAGTGTCGAGAGGGGCTTGATGGGTGAAAGGACTAAACAAGTACATATTGCCCCAGAGTGTTGAATCTCAAGAGGGGAAGACCTTGTCTCTTATACCATATTAGAATATGTGGAACCCCATTGTATTACTCTCCAAATGAGCCCTTAGAAGAGAACTAAGGTTTCAACATGTATTGTGGAGAAATGATCCAAGTATATCTGATGTAGAACTCTAACGCACCCCCTCCAATGGAGGCTAGATAGGCACAAATTGTCCAAGAATGTCGAGAGGTGCTAGAGGTATAAATTGCCCCAGAGTGTCGAGTCTCAAGAGTGACAGATATTGGATCTGATACCATGTTAGAATATGCGGAACCCTGTTATATTACTTTTCAAAAGAGCCCTTGAGGAGAGAACAGAGGTTCCAACATATATCGAGGAGAAAAACGTCCAAGTCTAGTTGATGTACAACTCCAACAAATACCATCACCCTGTTCTGAAGGGATAGTCCCAGATCCTCCTTTCGAGTGGGATATACCAGTTTGGTTTGTTTTGGTTCGTGACCGACACCATGAGAGGTTCGGAACTCTAGAAAGTTTTGCAGTTTGAGATTGAACCCATCCATCATTCAAAAGACTTCTTTGTTACCAAATTTCTAGTTCTAGTATTTCCTTAGCAACTTATAAAGATTTTCTTGAACAACAAAGACTTGGTTTTGGAGTTGCATCGGTTGGTTATCACTAATTATTTTGACACGAACACAGGGATCCCGACAGAGGAGGAGGAGGCGTCGCCGCCGCCGTCAAGCGAAGAATGAAGCTGATCGAGCATCCCATTTTCCGTAATCGGTTATCAAAATTCATCATGTAGTTGCACCAAATTTCTTCAGTTCTGTAAGTCAATTTTTTTTGAGAATACAAGATTGAAGTGGATATTGATAATAGGTATTGTTCTGTTTATCTTTGTAATCTTCCTTGTCATTTATACAAAATCTATCATTTTAATCATTTGATTTTGTTTTAAATTTATTATTTTTTTATTTATTTATAAAAAAGTTATACAAAGTTTAGAGGTACTTTTGCATAATTTTGAAAACATATTAACATATTTGTTTCGTGGGATTTGGAATTGGATTTCATTCTGATCTCTTTCTTTTGATTTAAAAGAAAGTCTAGATAACCATGAGGGTGATGCCTGATTGGTTTGAGCTTTTTGCTCCAAAAGGTCAAAAGTACCAGGAGGTCCCAGGTTCAAATTCAAGGAGAAACAAAAATCCACTTGTGGCCACGGAGGTTCAAATGCGGTGACTCGAATCTATCTGCAAAACATGTGGTCGTCCTGGAATTAGTCGGCTCGCATAGCAGGTTGGATATCGAGGTTAATCAAAAAGAAAAAGGGTCTAGATTTAAATTCTTGATTTAGAAATGCCACGACGAAGTTGGTATTTCAATGGAATGTCATAAAGATTTGTTTGTAAAAATATGTTAAAAATAATGGTTTTGTAATAATCAATTAATAACATGTGATTTATAATTATTTTCATTATTTGTTACTATAAAATCCATCGTCTGAGAAATAGATTTTAAGGTGAAAAGCATAAGAAAAGATCTGGACTCTTGATCATTTTTATTCTCAAACTCACTCGCGAATCACGTTTGATACGAGGATTGATCCGGTGTATCTCATTCTAATGTGCTGGTAGAAATCATTTCTTACGCTTCTCGCCTTAACTCTCCTTCTCATGGAACCCAATTATGTACGAGCATCTCTGATAACTATGCTAAAATAGAGACTTTGGAGATTTATGATATATTTTTTACTCCAACAGCTATGTTATACCGTATGTGGTATGCTAAAATAGAGGAAAAAAAAGATTGGGATAGAAATATCTAAATTTGGAAAAATCTCTAAAAATCTGTACTTAAGAGAGAGAGAGAGATAACATTCACCGATATAAGACATTGAAATTAAATGTTTACTTTTTAGGAGAGAGATAATATTTTATTAGATGTATTGAATATTTTAAAAATATAGTTAATGATAGAATGTTAAAATAGAGTACTCTTTATAGTTAGATGTAAGTTTTTTTAAATTTTAACTTTTGATACTCTATTTTAGAAAAATTATAACATAACTGCTATAAATTCTCTAAATTACATGTAAAGAATGAAATCTTGCTCCAAATTCTATAAATCAAACGCACCAAATCCCTTTTGGTATAAATAATATCGAAGTAAAAGGAGATACAAAAATCGTTAGAGGTCATCATTTCAGCTCCTCCAATTAGTCCCGGTGCATACAAGCTGGTCTAGACTAGAAGTGTAAAAAAACCGAGAAACCAAGCCGAACAGTTTGATTCAAAACTGAAAAAACAATAACCCAATAAATCATGACCCCCCCCCCCCCCCCCCCCGCGAGAAAAATTGGGTATTCTCATGTCATATTCAGTTTTGAATTTTAGGTATCTACGGTTACTCGAATCGAACCAGAAATAACGTATAAAAGACAGGATTGGGTCCCAATGAGAATGAAAGTTATGGTGAGAAGGGTAAGAAGAGATCTCCACCATTTGATAAAAAACTAATGGAGATACACCGGATCAATTCATGTATCAAACGCAATTCATAGGGTGGGATGAGATTAAAAATGGTCAAGGTCTTGATCATTTCTTATACTTTTCATTTTAACTCTTGTTCTCATACGATCATTCGTCTAAATAATATATAATATTTATATATTAGTTATTTATTTATTAACCAAAGTGAAATGAGAGATTTTAGCATTTTGGTGCTAAAGATTACGGTGGATGATTACATTTGATTGAAAAAAGTCGTGAACGAGTCGACATTGACCAAAAATCGATGTTTTTCAAACAATTAAATTTATTTTGATTTGTATGTTTTGATTGTTTTTTGTTTATTTGTTGTGTAATTGTTTAAATGTTGTATTTTGATACAATTTTAATGTCGTAACTGATATTTTTTCTAAATTCGGGTAATCATGAACCAAACTGCAAGTAACCACCTTTTTTTGGTTCGGTTTGTTGTGGTTCGATTTCGGTTCGTGTAGCCAGACATCCGTTTCATGCAATTCGGTTCACATTTTCCCTACCAACCAAACTGAACCAAACCATGACCAGCTCTAGTCCGGGATCCGTGATTAAGAAAAGAAACCGATTTTTAACATCCAACAGCGACACATGAAATTAGGGGTGCTAAAAGAACCCACCTAACTCAACCCAACGTGAAATAACCCAACCTGAAGCAATCCATTGTCTAATTGAATTGTAAAATTTTCAAACCATAGATATTGAGTTACGATCATTTGAATCCAACATAAACTAATGAACCAAATATCATTTTATTTATTGGATTTAATATAATTGTTAAGTTTTTATTATTATATACATTA